TTAAACGTAGGAAATCCGCAAATTATAATACAGCGAGCTGACCGCCCACGCAGGATTTCCTAGGTAAGCAAGCTAGAATCAGGCTATCAGGCGCACTTAATGAATAGGGAGTTCGGTAGATTTTAATAATTCATTTGACCCACTTGTGTCTTATTTGCCGTGAACAGAGACCTCTAATCGGGTCTCCAAGGCAAAATTCCACGCCCATATTCCATACCGCAATCAAGCAAAGCCTCAAAGTATGGGTTTCTTAATTTTTTATGCATTAGTGACAGGTAACGGGCCTTAGCTAGCAAGCTCACCCTGCAAAGAGAAACGGTAGATGCATTAAGAGGCAATTAAAAGCAGGGACAACAATAGGCCAGAAAGACCTGCTATAACCGATACTGCATCAGCAACTGCAAAAAATCAAGGTGCACTGAGATATTGAGCTTTTGACGAACGATTATCCGGCACCCTTGGATTGCCGTCTTCCTATCGTCTGCTTCCGCTGTCCTTTCACTTAAAGGAGGAGGAGGAGGAGGCGGATTATCTTCCACCCCATCTAAAAGTATTCCCAACTGTTTTTGTATATCTCCTCTAGCTAGGAATGCCCTAGAACAAATGGCAAACAGACATCCATTATTGGCGCCAGCCCGCGTGTGTGGGGAAATCTGGTTCGACCCATAATAGGGAATTCAAACTCTTCCACTGCTGCGACAGGTAAACAAAGGCCTTCGTCCGGAGCCTTCAATCACCACGGTCCTGTTAACGTCTGGCCAGCTCCTCCATATGGAGCCGGCACTGACTTGACCCAGGTTGCCACCAATGCTTAGTAGTGTCGACGCTGAGGCGCAAAACAGCTATTTGACAGTCGAAAGCAATGGCTTGACCTGCCGAAAATTCATCGATTGTGGTCGCTCGGCGGCTTGAGCTGAACTCCGAGAGGGAGTATAGCCACGCTCGCTGTCGTCAGGACTTCCTGGGTGCATACAACGGATCTGAGAAAGAATGATCGCACGAAGAGTCCTGTAGGATTAAGTCC